TTATAAACATATGCAGATAATTCCATGCAATTCAGTTGAATGAATAGAATTACCAGTTCTTTAACAATGCTTTAAAAATGGAAAAAATTCGCTATCACTTTTCGCGCCAGACTGAAAAGGCGTATCATAAAAAGGGGCCATGGAATCTGTCTCAGTTCAAGTTGATCCAGAAACTAACGGGTCACCGTATCAGGGCCGCCGACCCATCCCGCCCTCGCCCAGGAATATAAAGGGCAGGAGCCGCGTTCGCCAAGCACACCCTGGCGAAGCGTCTCCCCGCTCACTTCCCTCACCCTGCCATTCACCATGGCTGCCTGGATTAGCTTGGTAAACAAGTCGATAAGCTTTTCGCTTTTCTTTCTTTTCACGCTCATATCCTAAAGTTAACTACAGTTGATATAATACGAAATGATTTGTTCATATAATTTATATCTTATGACCTTTGAACTTTTCCAGGTGTTGTTGTCCGTCCTTACGGTTAGCACACTAAGCTTGCCTCGTCCTGATGAAAGTGCCTACAGAATTCCTCAAGTAGGAACCGGCAGACGTTCCCAGTACTACGTCCTGCACAGTGATGGCACCTACAAGTACGGCCATGACACCGGAGAGGGAGCCTTCGAGAGTGCACGATCATCTACGCCAGGACAGCAACGAGGTTCTTTTGGCTATGTGGCTCCCGATGGCAGGCCAATTAGCCTTCACTATGAGGCAGGTGAGGGAGGCTTCGTCCCTCAGGGTGCTCACCTTCCCGCCACGCATCCAGACTTCGAGGCTGCGCATGCCCAAGCTCGCGCACGCGCTCCGTTCGTCGACCCTCTAGCCGATCCAAACGCAGATGCTTCCTATGGATTCGACTTCGCAGGACAAGGTCAGGCTCGCTCGGAACACAGTGATTCTGATGGCAACGTGCGTGGCTCTTACTCCTACACCGACGACCAAGGTCGCACTCGCACTTACTCCTACACTGCCGGCAGAGGCACCGGTTTTGTGGTGGAAGGTAGCGATCTCCCTACCGCGCCACAAGACTCCAAGTCCACTCCCGCCGCCACTCGACTTTCCTCTGGGACTCGAGGCTCTCCCTCTCGCCTGGGAACTGGATACTCGGCTGCTCCAGGGACCTCCTCAGCCTCTCGTGGTGCCGGCTCTCCCTCTGGATCTCCGTTTCCTTCTGCAGGAGCCGCCGCCTCTTCTCGCCAGAGCGCTGCCAGCCCAGATGGCTCTTATTCCTTCTCTTTTGACGCCGGGGATCACTCGCGAGCCGAATCTGCCGATGGAAACCTCAACGTCGAAGGTCACTTTTCCTTCGTAGCAGATGACGGAGTCAGACGAAATGTTAACTACGCAGCCGGTGCCAACCGAGGATTCCAGGCTTCGGGAGACCACCTTCCTACTGCTCCTCAACCTCATTCCGCCTCCAGACCCGCATCAACTTCCTTTGCTTCTCACACTCCTTCCGTCAAGTCTGGCCCTGCCGCATCCACTTTCTCTCGCCCTTCAACTCACACCTATTCCGCCTCGGGCTCAGCCTCCTCACCCTCAACGGGAGTCAGTGGACGTCCATTCGGAGAAGCTAACACGCGCACTCAGACACGTCCTGATGGAAGCTATTCCTTCTCCTACCAGGCTCCCACTCACTCCCGAGCAGAGTCTGGCGACGCAAATAACAATGTTGACGGCAACTTCGCCTTTGTAGCAGATGACGGCCAACAAAGGGCTATTCGCTATGAAGCTGGCTCTGATACAGGATTCATTGCTGAAGGAGCTCACATTCCCGTAGGACCTGAGGTTCCTGGGGCGCCATCCGGTCAGCCAACTGGAAGGATCGTTCCAGTGCGAGAAACTCCCTTCGTCGACCCTCTCGCTGACACCAACGCTGATGCCTCCTACAGCTTCGCCTTCGACTCGGAACAATATTCTCGCTCAGAGTCAGCCGACGCCGACGGAAACGTCCAGGGGACTTACACGCTGCTCGACGACCAAGGAACACGCCGCACTTACCGTTTCCGCGCCGGAGAAGGTGTAGGATTCGAGACTGAACAAGTATCCACTTCTCCCGGTGCTTCACCCTTCCGCTCCTCGTCCCCTTCCTCTGCAGCTGCAACATCACACTCGCCCTCAAGCCCTTCCACTTACACCGGTAGTGCTGCATCATCCTCGAGGTATCCTTCTGCTGCTGCCTCCGCATCCTCCTCCTCTGCCGGAGGATTCAGGTCATCCTCTGGACCAGGATTCCAGCTGCGTCAGTACGACGCCACCAAGAACCCACATAAGGTCGGTTACGTCCTCACCTTCGACAAGTGAAACGCATTTGCTCTTCCAAAGGTCTGACGTCGGCGCGAAAAAGGGATTTGGAAAGCTTATGCAGCTTATGTTGTGTGAGCAGACTCGTATGATATTTATTGTATATATTGTTGAAAATCATAAGTAAACGTAACTATAGATGTATAGCCATGCAAGGAAAAATTGAAAAAAAAGTCATGTTTTGACCGGATCTAGGAAA